TATCAAGCATACCACAATTTATAAAAACCTAAATTTGCTTCACAATACACCATGCATGAATAAATATAGCACTTGAAATGTAATAAATATTTACAGTCACACCTCTGTTTTATAACACTAAGCACAGCTTAATTTACAAATATGAACATCATTACAACGAATATGTAATAAATAACATTCTTTTTTTGTAAAGAGCTCAAAGAAAATAATTAATTCTTAAAGAGCAACAACAATCCCAGTTTTTATGTCAACTAATTTAGACCTTAACTATTCTATAATTTAATAAGAAATTAAAAGACAAATGACAGCAAGTTGTATTATTTACTAAGTATATGCATAATTTTTAGAGAAAAAAGAAAGTAGTTTTCCGAAATAAAATTAAAACATATCTAATTTTTAAATTTACATTGTAGAAAAATATATATATACTTACTGTACATAGACTATCTGCATCATAAATTTTTAAGTGAATTTTTTCTAAAACTATTTTCATGCCTTTGCTAAAACCTTTTTCTTCTTAAATCTTATGATGCAATCGAAAAAACAACAGAAGTGCTTCACGCTAGGTTTCGAGAAAGGTGGCATGACAACTATTTTCTTTCTACTGCTAATACTATAAAGGCTAAATTAGAATCTCAAAAAGTGATTAACAAAATTTATTCTTTTAAAAATATATATATATATTTCTTTGGCAATATGAAGGTTATTATACAAAAGTGCCAAATATATAAAAAAATCTAACTTCTGATTTTTTGTTGTTGCTTAGGTCAAATTTTCTATTGCACGGCAGTAAATAAATAATAAGGTCCATCTAAATGTCATCGTTTGACATTCAACTGCATTTCAAAATTTTAACGCTATAATTCCTATATTTCAAGTACAGAAATTAGTTTGAAAAACAATTATGCCAGTATAAATTCTAAGCTAGTTGTATCAGGACTAGAAAAATCTCAAAATGTTTACATGTCTGCATGTAGTCCTTAAAATACATAGCCAAACATATTTCATAATTGCATATTAATAGAAATACACGAAGATACACATTATTTATTTTTGTGGAACAAATGCTCTGGATAACATTATAAACACACCTACACTTTTACTTTAACTATAAATTCAAATGTGTTCAGTATTATTAAGAAAGAAGCATTAGGCATGGCTGACAACTTGAAAATCATAACTTCCAAGTATATTTAAAGTGATAGCCAAATAATAATTTAAGTTAAATTAAATTTGTTTAGTTTTACCTGCAACTAAAATTTTCTCTGAAATATTATAGGTTTTATACATTTGTTTAAGATAAGCATATGTAGTGGTGGAAAAACCATTGAAAATTTAACTTATTGAATAAATAATAAAATGTAAATCATAAAATTTACTTTAACCGTAAATATTTTGATAAATATGTTACAATAAATGGGAATAAGTTTGCAGGTATGGTTTTATTATCAAGTAAATGTCAAGACCAAGTAAGCAATGATGGAGTATATGTTGAGCATTTTTGAGGTATTATTAGGATTATTGACAGTAATCAGCAAGTGTATCCACTTCAATATGTTACTTTAAAACAATGTTATTTACCTTTATAATAATTTTCATTTGCACAGCTATAGGAGCAAACTTTTTTTTTAGAAAAGAACATAAGCAGGCTATTAGAATGAAAAGCCAACTTTGTTTAATAAATTCTTACTTATATAATTAAATTCAGTAACATTCACTCCTTACAAATAGACTTTATTTTCTTTTTTCTAAACTTCAATGATGTTTATTCCATCTGACATCTTGACGATTTTCCTTAAAATTTGAGGGGTGTTAAATCAGTATTCTATGGTATCATGCACAGCTGAGCAAGCAAGGGCAAAAAATACAAGAATCGAGTAAGTAGGTAATATAACATTCGAACCCTGAGTTTTAAAATTTTTCAGTTTTGACAAGAAGGTAAGAGACCTGCATTGTCTGTTTAAGGAATGCAAGTTCTGCACTCTTATTCTAAATGTAACATACTTAGGAAAATATTTATAATGTTTTTAGGAGAGAAGATCAGAGCTTCCTTTTATGGGATGTTATTATAACTCAGTATCCTTCAAAATGTTAAAGTTCAGCACTTTGCATTTTAGAAATCTAGCACTGGCAATAAGTTCTGATTTTAAAGCAACAAATTTTGAGCCAGTAAAGTTGATTAATAATTTGTTTTGTGAATGAGGATAAAATAATCCAATTAAACCAATTTCAAATTAAAAATTTAACTATTTAATTAATTTTGAAACAAATTATATGCACTTTAAAAAGGACAATTGGTTGACTCATTATTTTCATAAGCTCACTTTTAGTGAAACAAATTGAGTAGACAATCAGTAACCTCAATAGAAAGTCACTTTACGCAATGTAAGGTGCATTATTAAATTGATTTAATAAACCAAAGAAATAATGGTTTGAATTCTATATTTATAAAACATGAAACATATTAATTTTATAAATGTATGAGCTTAAATATAATTCAAAGTATTTAAAAAATAAATTTGATATTACACACTTTTGCAGTGTAATTTAAATTTTTCTTTTTTACTATTTAATTTGAGTTTGGGAAGCAAACTTATATAGCCTCAACAGAAGGTGTACTATGAAATTTAATTCATATACTATAGACATTATGTTTCTAACTCTATTTACAAACCTGAAACAAATACACATTATTCATTAATGATTATTAATTTATAAACTTGAAGTTAAAATATTTTTAATATAAAATAAAGATTAAAAAAAATATTTCAAATAATTTTTTAATCACTGGTTGCAACTCTGACGAACAAATAAAGATTTATAGACAAGCAAATATTATAATGCTATCATAGTGCAATATTAGTAAATTTAAAAACTATTTCATAAAATAAAAATATAAAAACAATTATAGTTTTTAAAAAAAATAAATAACAATAAAAACAGGTACAGCAATAATCATAACTCCTTTTTTTTCCTCTAAAAATGATAGAATGCTGTGATTTAATAATTAAAAATTATAGTTCATTAAAATACATAAAAGAATAACTAGTCTCTTCACAGAAAAAGAAAAAAAAATAATGGGAGAAACCTTAACAAATAAATGCAAGTAAAAAAATTAATTAAACTCCATGGAAAAATTGATGTTAAAAGAATAAGAAATTTAATCTATTCTACAAAATGAATTTTATACATTAAACTCATACCAAGTTAAAACTACTCAAGTAGTTATGACTTCAGAAAAGATTAACCCACCATTGTGTACTCAACATTTGAGTGATAATTTTTAACATAAAAAGTCAATAACATAATTTAAAATGAAATACAGTCAAATTTCTATAAACCAAACATTTACCAATCACTTTTTTATTAACTCAAGAGAGTTTAATATTCAAGGTTGGCAAGTTTCTGCCGAGGTGGTACCACTGATAGAAACCGGTTAAAACTGGCATGGCAGAAATTCAGAAAATGAAATAAAAGTTAAGTACTGAGATTGACATACAATGGATAATTCATAGAAAAAACATTTAAATGTTACACAAAGTGACCAGTGAAATTGCTGTTTACATTTATGAATCAGTGAATCTAATCAATTATATTACCTCTTACATACAGCAAAGATTAAAACTGTTTCTGTTATAATAATTGGATTGTAGCCATGCAAATTATGTCTTGAAAAGAAAAGAAAAGCTATTTGAAAGTAGCTCTATTCAGTTATATTAAGAGTTAAATGATAATAATTACTGAATTTCAGAGTTTAATATAATAAACTAAAATTTAGTATTTATATTTATTATTACATTACTTCATTCCTTATTTAATATAAATATTTGATATACTGTACTGCACTCTTTATATTTAATATAAACAAAATAATATATACTTACAAACAATGAATTAAAAAGTTTGTTACAGTTACATTTTTCAGTCTACTTAAACAAAATGCTATTAAGCAATTACTACAACTAATATAGAAGTTTTTTTTAGTTTCTGCCGGCAAAAAGCCAACCCTTTTAATATTACCCACTAAATGCAGGAGCCTTTGAACATATTTGTTAATTAATTTTTTATCTTTATAATCCCTTTCCCTAACATCAAAAGTTTAGAATTTTTTTTTTTTTTTTAAATTACAATTTGAAATACCAAACAGTTTCCTAGCCACAATTCCAGGAAAAGAAACTTATAATTTTGTAGAAAAATTATTTTTAAATTTTTCTCTCAACTTTCCTATTGTTACTATTAAAGGTATTTATTGTATTTTACAAATTTGAAATAGTTTTGAACTCAAATTATTAAAATAGAATTTTTCAAAAATCTTTAAGTTGCCTTTATTAAAGTGTCAGAAGTAAAATAGAAATTGTACTAAATACTGACTTTTGAAGTCAAAAAAATATTTTGATAATACTTTTCCTAATGAGGATGCGTCTTACAACTTGCTTTTAATAAAAATAATAAAAACTGAATTTTTTGTTAGTCAAAATATTGAAGTTTTACAAAACAGGGACCAATAAATCTACAAAAGTGAAATTTTTTATCAAATTATACAACTATATTTAAAAAACTCATTGTCATATTTTTTTAAGTGTAACTTTTGAGGATCTACAAATAGAAAGATCAAGTTTTTACTTGAATGAGATACACTTTGCATTTTATTGCAAATTTATAGGAAATTTAAAGCCCACTAGGAGAAAAAAAAAGTAGCAAATGGCAATTATATTTTGAGAAAATGAAAAGAATTGAATAAAAAATTACAAAACGCAAGGAAGAGGGCTGGTGAAAATAAATTTTAATAAAAAAAAATATATACATTGTATATATGTATATACATATAAATTGAAGAATTTAATTACTACTTCTCCTGTGTGAAATAAAACTGTTTAGTATCAATTATTATGATAAATGTTATTATTCAAATATATCTTCAACAGCTAGACAGATTATTATTTATTACAAAAATATGTACTGTTTGTCTAAGATAGGTACTCTGACCGCCACTAAGTCTGCGACAGTCTGGTGCTATGGAAACAAGAAGAGGCCATTTTAGGGAGGGTAGCTTCGATGAAGAGGTCTCCTTTTCTCTCGCCGAAACCAGTCCTAAAGAGGGACCTCGCACCCCTACTTGAAATAATTATACCTCGTTACCATAGTCACCACCACAGCTCCAGGCAGAGTACCTATCTTAGACAAACAGTAACAAAACCTTGTTTGTGTATAGAATGTGTGAAACGGTATTTTAAATTTAGTGTGCACAATGGAGAGCTAAACATCAACATACTTTAAAATTGTAGAGCACAGTATTAACATGTTGGACAATTAGAAAATTTAAAAGTATTCACATGGCAAATAAATATAATTTGTCTTAGGTCGCTTTTATGCACGACACATTAACCTGACCACTGTTTTTGTCATGATACCTATGCATATGTTCACAAACATCATTTTCAGTCATGTCAGTGTAACAGCTTGCACAAATATATTTCGAAATAGATAACTTATCTTCTGAGGCTAATATTGCAAATGCATCAATTTTATCAGAGCAGCAATCCCAAGAAAGCTTTAAACTCAAAGTTTCTATTTGTATTGAATTTTGCAATTCATCTGAGTTATTAAACCTTGAATCACTAGAAGCTTGAGATTCGGAAGTTTGTGAGGACTGGCTCTGACAGTATATACTGTCTGGTGTCGCAGGCGGTGTAGGAAATGAACGAGGTTGGTGATCACTGGCTGTTGAATGGGAGGTCTGACGAGGAGCGTAATTAAAGGACAACTGAGCTTGCAATTCCTCACCACTATTTGAATTTTGTGTTTTAAAATCATTTCGATTATCTTGGGCATAATTTGCAGAGAACAATTGTAAACATGCAATGCAAGGTTTTGTATCTTCCCTTGCAAGACCTGATTCATCTGGATCATGATTACAGCCGATAATCCTTTTTGCATTTTCTCCATCCAAAGGGGCAGTTTCAAAAACTTGAGGTATTCGATATCGAAAAAGGTTAGCAGAAGACAACTGATTTCTCAAACCTTCTGGTTCTTCCAAGTTAGAGCTCAAACTTGGTAGTGAAAATATAGATTCTAATGAAGGAGTCTGATTGATCATTGGAGTTGAATCATAAAACTGATCTTCATTATAATTTGGCTCCTGCTTTACAGCTTTTGTAATTTTTCCAATTTGAAGAGACAAAGGTTTCAAAATGCCATCATAAACATCGCGATGTTTATCGCGCATATGGCCATCATAGGCTTTGGGGTTCAAAAAATCTTTTTTACACATCTTACAATGATAATAAGTTACATTTTTTGCCTTCAATTCAAGGTTACGAAGATTATCTACCTTTACGAAGCAATTACTCATTAACTTCACACTTTCTTCACAAGGATGTTTTTCAAGAGTTATTGAACTGAAGCAAGTAAAGCCACATTTATTACATTTATTCAAAAACTTCTCATCATATTTCTGGTTAACAGTGATTGGGTTTATTCCATTATCAGACTTGTCTTGAAAACCTGATAGAGAGCATGATGTTTTGTGCTTAAGAAGATCTGCAATAAGATCAAAACTAGAATTACACAAAGTGCAAAACCACAAAACATTGTTTAATGATGTGAATTGTTTTTTCAGCCTAATGAATTTAATTTTGCAGCAGGAAAAATGAATGCATGCAAGTTCCACATTTCCAAACTGTTTGCAGCACTTAACACATTGATAATCAATTTTGTTTCCAAAGCATTTTAAAAGAATTCCACTGTTTGGATCTGGCAAAGAATCAATCAAACTTTCGATTTTAATTTCTAAACTAGATGCATAGCCAGCTTTAGATGAGTCACCCTCTTTTGCTTTATTTTGGACACTTGAAGAGGGGGACACATCACTTATTTTCTTTTCAATCAAAACCTTTACAGGCTTCAATGGATTCTGTTTTTCAGTTAATTGTTTTGATTTCGCAACAGCACCTTCAAGCAAAACATTTCCCATATTTTTCCTAACCAGCCTTCGTGTTGTCTTCTCTGTATTAGAGGATGATGAATTATTATTAGAGGATGATGAATTATTATTAGAAACCTTACTAGAGGATGATGAATTGTTATTAGAAAACTTTTTAGAGGATGATGAATTATTATTAGAAACCTTACTTGATTTGCTTTTAACTGAAGTAACAGATTCTGGCTTTTTAAATAGAGCTGAAGTTTCATCAGGAACAGCTTCACCGGAATTTTCTGAAATATTGATATTTTTATCTGGGACCATTTTCTTAGGCTTATTAAATGTTTTTCTAATGTGGATATGGGTATCACTTCTGTCAATATCATCAGAGAGATTATTTTGAGTTATGGATGTACCTTGAATTTCAGTGGCATTAGATTCAGAGGATAAACAGTTTTTAGACTTTTTACTCCGATTAATTTTTCCTGTATTTATATTTTCAGTATGAAGCTGATTTGTTGACACACCCCCCCGATTCTCAGCGATTCCAACTGAAACTAAACTTGTCGATTGATTTCTGTCTTTTGAATTTCGCCGCAGACTGTAGTCTTTTCCGCTTTTGTCAATCAATAAGATGCACTTTTTACAAAATTCATGTTTGCTACGGGGATGCATTTTTTTATCACACATGTTACATTGTTTAAAGTTTCTCTTTTTACAGAGGGCCTCATGTTTAGCCAATGATGATGGTAGATCAAGCTTAGTACTACAGAACTTGCACTGTAAACAATATGCCCCGTCATTTACTTTCTTATGAGTAAGTTCATGATTTTTAAGATGAATATCAGATTCCAAATTCTTGTGACATACAGAACATTTAAAAGAAGTGCATTCATGTGCGACTACATCAAAGGAATCTTCAAACACCTTCATACATTTATTACAAACATGTCGATTTTGCAAATTTGCTTTATTTTTAGAAATTTTTGCTGGTTTAACTGACATGCTGCCAGATGCTTTTTCTGCTTTGTGTGAAACTTTTCTCTTTTTACTCAAACTAGTAGATGTTGAAGCTTGTTGTTGGCTTTGATCAGGCAATGAGAGGCGGCGTTTATTTTTAGCCGAGCACTCTCCCTCATTCCTTTTCATCATTTTAGAGAACAGCACAAAAACAAGGCAATTAGCACATCTGGAATAAACAAAAATTTTAACAAAATAAACACATAAATTAATACACATACAGAAAACATAATCGTTTTATTTTTAATTTAATTATTTTTTTTATTGAAATTTCTTAATCTGCATATCTGACTAGTAATTAAAATGATTTTAAAGATAAAAAAAAACTTTAGCCATTACATTTATAAACTGGGATGGAATTTCGCATGGAAAAAAACTAATTTCTTCCAAAACACTTGAAGAAAGTGGAAAAAATGGAAAAATCTAGACAAAATGTATTAAGCTAAAATTGACCAATATAATGAGGTACCTGCGTGGTATTTTTTAATTTTTTAAAATGAAACTTCAAACCATTATATGATGATAGACACCAATTTCAGTTCAGTGCGTTAATTAGTTATTTTGTAATAAATATTTACAATTGCTTGATTAGCCTGTGTTTTAGGGGGTGCCCTAAAACACAGTTAGTTTCCCCATCTCGGCTGAAAGCGCATGCCGTCGCTCATAGAATATTGATAAAAATTCTCAAAAATAACTCTATGCACTTACAACAGTATTGTTTTATATCACGCTGTAATAGCTTTACATTTAACATACCATATAAAATTTAATAATATGAATATATAAACATAAATATAAATGTACCAAAAGGCAAAAAATTCCAAGATTGGTGCAAAGCCATCAAACGTGATGAACAAAAAGAAGGAGAAAAAAAATCGTGAACTATCTGTAACTTTATTATTTTGTTACAAAACCATTTTACAGTACTTTGTAATATTTTAATTTTAAAAGAATGGTTTTATTTTGATTAAGCTTCTCTGAAGAAATCATTGATTATAAAGAATTAAAACGTATATGAAATGATATTTTTATGAAATGCCTTTTTCTTATTATAATATTCTTTTTTAAAAATGAAAGGATTTTATTCTTAAAGAGTAATTGTGTACAGGTTATTCCTTTTTAAAAGTATTATTTTTTTTCATCGAATAACCTATTTTGTTTCGTTCTGCATTAACTTCGTTATCGAAAACATACATTCTTTTGTTTTTATTTTATTGAAATCAAAATTTTAGAGATAAAAATAATTCATTTTATTTTTATGTAGTTGGGCGGAGGAAAAATGTAAAAAGAATTTTAAAAAATGGAAAGGACTTAAATTTTTTTGCGTCACTTCTAATAATAATTAAATAAAATATTTTAGAAGTAAACCATAAAAAATAAGACATTTTTCAAGAAAATTTTTTAACTTTCTTTATTTCTATAAAAACTTTTAATTTAATATCTTTGACATTTCGATTTGCTCTGTCCGTGATCAAACCAGCATGGAATTTTTAAAACAATTCAAACTTTAATGTCTGTTATTCGTAAAAATAAACCAACATTAATAATAACTTTTTAAAAAAATAATGCTTTTCAAAGGTTATTGAATAAAAAAAAGATAAATTAGGAAACTAGTTAATAACTTTTTTTTTTTGCATTCAATTTATTTTATGTAAAGGGCACCTACAAAAATTTTTTCAGAAGGGGGAGGAGAATTCAATTGGGGGAAAAAAAACATTCCTCAAATTATAAAATCATGTTTTAAATTTATTTCTGTAATTTTTGAAGTTTTAAAGAAAAATTTTTCTAATTTACTCATTGTCACTAAATAACGAATTTCAAAACAAAATTAGGAATTTAAATATTTAAATTTGAAAAAGGAAAAACTCAAAAATCATATTTCATGTAGTATCAAGATATATTTAATCATATTCAAGAAATGTAGTTCTTTATTTACATCACAATTTAAATTCTTTAAATTTACTACACACACAAACAATTCACTACTGTGTTTTTGTATTTTTTTGTATGAATTTTATTTTACGAAATGCATCTTGCAAACATATTTTAGGTAATAATGGTATAAAATTTTAAAATGGAAATTTCGTATTCAGTTCATTACTTTGAATAAATTCAATATTACACGTATAAGAAAAATTACTACAAATAAATAATTATTTATTTTCTGTAGCTTTTCAGGAAAAAAGGTTTTAAGAATAAAATAAATAACTAAATAAGGGATTAAGAATTATTTGCATCTCTTAAATATTTCCATTTCTTATCTGGGATGAAACCATTAGGTGAAAAACTTTAAAACAGTTCTTATTTCTTATAATACTTAAGAATGAGAAAATGGATATTTTTGATTAAAAAATATCAATCCTCAAACCAAATATCTTTCTCTCTGCATTAAACCAAAAAATTAACTCAATTTTGGCACAAAAAAAAAAAGAATAAAATAAAACTTCTCTGTAGAGAACATGACTACACCCTATGACAAGTTTAGGTTCGGCCAGGTCGAAAATAATGACGTCATAAACAATCCCCGCCTCTTTTTGAGTCACTTGAAGTTAGTTTCGTTTTAAGCTATGCAGTGTTTTCATCTCAGAAAAAAAATGGGTGAGAATTTCTCACCCTTTCTCAAAAACAGGGTGAGATTTCAAAAAGTTAAGTAAGATTTCAAAAATTAAAAAAAAAAAAAAAAAAACACCACGAGACTTGAAAAAAATTCATTTCTTTTATTATAATGCATTTTTAACATCTTCTAATTTTTAAACCATTGAATATTTTTGCAGCATCATCATATGGAAAATGTTCCACATCTACTTTTTCATCAGCTATTCTCATTAGGTTGCTCAAATGCGTATTTGTTTCGTTTTGATCATTTCTACCCACATTTGTTTCATTTTCATTTGTCCGTTTCGGAGTAGAAGATATTGGTTTTACAAGGTACTTGTCCATCTTACATTAACAAGCAAAAGATTTGAACATCTTACACGTAGAAACCTTACGTACGGTAAACACGTAGTTGCAGAGTTCTGAAAGAGGTTCCGTGGTTCAGAAGGATGGTGTTCTGTTGTTCTTGAAGGTTCTGAACAATACTGTTAAATAGGGAAGCTAGATAATGGGGCAGATGTTGAAAATAATAAAAGATCCAGGAAGAAAAGTGAAACGGATTTTATTCTAAATGGCGCAAATGAGAAATTTTTTTCAAAATGCGAGAAATTCGCAAATTTTGAAATTGGTTTATAGAATGCGCGAATTTCTCGCGGTAATAATTTTTTAATGCGAGAATATAAAAAAATATGCGAGATTCTCGCGCTGTAGTGAAAACACTGCTATGATTTTAAAAAGTCAAATAGTAGAGCCCTGTTAATGAAAACCGATCAAATTGATTTATGTTATTTGCATTAACATCTGGAAGAAACTAAACAAAAAGGAATGAACTAAAAATCACCAGTATAATTGTTTAAGCAATAAGACAAGCTGCAATTAAATTTAATATAGAATCAGATATGTCTTCTAATACTTTTATCATTAAAAAAAAGAAGCTATTTTTTACACTGAATAAGATTTATGTATATTTTTTAAGAAGCATATTTGATTATTTATATTTAACAGTATTTTAATGTAAAAATTAATAAGTTACTTATAATTGTAAATTCAATGAGTAATTTGTAGTAGTGACTTTATTTTGTTATAGGTTTTTAATCTAATTATATTTATAAAATTTAATTATAATATTTTTAGAGCTCTTTATTTATAAAATTTAGTTTTACTGAACTATTTCTAATGCTGAATATAAAATATGATTTTTAGTAGTGATTATGATTAATAATCTAGCATAAACAACATTTCAGTTTTTTAATGGGATATAACTCAGTAGCTTTGTAACAATCCAGAATGAAATACAAATTATAAAAAAAATAAACATGCTGTACTTTTTTTTGAAGAAATATTATAATAAAGACCTTTTACTTCTAAAATATAATTTTCATCACGAGAGACAATTAAATTATGAGATACACGTATATATATTACATAACAGAGCATCAACAACCACCATTGCTGAGGCTTCAAAAAGTAGTTAATTTTTAAAAGTATAATTTTTGCAGTGGTTTACATGTGGATACAAGTTATACTTTTTAAGTTGGTCTCCTTCTGTGATGTTTTTTTTTTTTTGGTTCCCACACCACTATCCAGTTAATAGTAAAATGAAGCGACTTATATAGCACAGGTATCGATTTGGGTATCATTGTTTTTCCATTTAAACCAGTGTAAAATTGAAGCGTGAAAAAGATCCTATTTCCTTCCCTAGAGGCTTTAAATCTGCAGAATCATACTACAAATTAGAATAAGTCTTTTTTAATAGAGTCATGTATGCAAAAACAGCAAATGTAATTGAAATACACTTATCCTGATTTAGATGAGGATTAATGAAACATTAATAAAGGCTTTCTTAATACAAAACAAAAGCTATAACTTCAAATTGTGTCTAGTTTGTTTGTAATATATATGTTTTTGAATAACAAATAATAATTTCGGAACATTTTAAAATATTTGTGAAAATATTATTGGGTATTATGGTAGGTAGAGGTAGGTACTTTATTTAAGTGGCACTAGAGAAGTATGAAGGGTTATTAGGAAGGTCCGGGAAACATCCCAGAGGATGATCCGAAGACATGTCATCACAATTTTCATCCTCTGCAGAGGGGATGCGGTATTAAGAACTTACGTAGTAGTCACGATAGTTTTTTCAATAACATTACCAATAACTATTACGTTGATGCAATACATTTACAAAACTGTACAAGTCAATTTATTTACTATGTGTTTAACTGATTTACCTCTTCGTTTTAATCAGAAAATGTAGCCCGTACACTTCCTCCTCCAAATGTAGCCATTATTACATAACATTAATACAATTCAGGACTACACTACAAAAACAACAAATAAGACGCCCGATAATCGCGGCAGAAATTTCATGAATCGCGGTTTATTTAAATGCATTTAGTTTTATTTGATAACAAAACTAATGTTATTATAAGAAATAATGTCAGATTCGTTAAAACAGATTCTAAAATAATCAACAAGAAATAGAATCCCAAACAAATGCCATTGCCATTAGATGAAATTAATTTTTTGTGTCAGTAAATGTTACAATGGACACGTTCCAATATTCTCACTGGTGACGCTGGTTTAACGTACCAACCGTTCAAATATTAAAACTGGTTACTACAGTGCACCGCACCAGATTTCTATGCCTGCGGGGAGTTTTCTGAGGGGCGTGGTCGAAAACGTCAAGAAATGAGGTTTTCACAAATCGTCAGGAGTGGAATAGGCTTCATGATGTAGGAGTATGAATTACCTTTCTCCCTTTGTTGGAACTGGAAGTGGAAACTATACAAATATTAAAACAAAGAGACTTAGTTTTAATTCTAATATTTTAAGGTGTTTCAAGTTTTTGAAGAAGCATGTAAAAATAGGTACTTCAAAAGTGAACACTTTTATAGCAAAATTTACGAAAAGAACAATCTTTTAAATGAATATATTTTTTTAAAAAAAGTTTAACATTTCTTTTAAATATGCTAATTATTGATTAACATAATGCGTTTTAAAGCAAAACATTTATTCTAACTCATGCAACACTGACAAAAATATTATAGTAATTAAACATTAAAGACGAAGTAATTATTATTTTTAAAATAAATTCATGTAACATATTATTCTAAATTGGCGAAAATTTTTCTAAAAAGGGAAATAGATTTAAAAAACAAATCACGAGTTAATTGAACCAAAAAAACACTTAATGTTATTAATAAAAGCGAAAACTAAGTATTTTCTTTCATAATAATAAAGTTCAAACTTATTGCAAAATTACTTGCCAGCTCTTTCGATAAAATCGACTCTATCGGCTCTAAATTGCCCACCAATTGTTCAACAAGACGACGGTCATTCACATGTCTCCATACGCGTAGCGTGAGGGAGGGGGATGGCTTGCTTTTCTTTAATAGAAAACTGTTTCTTTATTTTAATTTTTTTGCATGAAGTGTGCTCCCTCCTCTACGCCTTTGTTTCAAAAAAAGAAGGTACCTTGTGCAAAAAGTACCGCGAAATTGAATTTACACATGGCCGATAACTAATATTTTTTTCGTAACAATTATTTTTTAATTGTCCCAGTGAGTTTTTCTTTCTTTTTTTTTTTTTGAAAACTTACCGGGGAAAATAAGAGACAGCTTTGAAAAATTAAGAATTTTCAATAACAGTCGGTAGTGTCAATTGAGTTTTGATCTGAAAATTTCTGTGAGAGAATAAAAATACTTCTTTAAACAATTTATTGTTGTTAAATGCCGTTTTTTTTGCGAATTAATAAATGTACTTTAACAAATGCCTTTAGTTTTTTACGATAAATCCCTTGAATTGATCGGCAAAATTGTTTTGAAGTTAATATAGGGGTTTTATGCTTAAAAAGTAATATTTTGCACTTGTACACATTTAAGCTTCTGACACTGCTATCTAAAAAATTAGGTATTGTTCCCTATATTTTTGACGCTAATAAGTATAAGTTACAATTCTTTTTGTTTAATTAAACAGTACTCCAGTTGAATTGTAATTATGAAGAATAAAACTTTTACAACGTTTATACTGTTCTCTTTTTCATATAGACTTAAGTTAATCTCATTCAAACTAGCACGGAAAAAAAAACTTAAAGAATTATGTTTCTTGCTTTTGTTGTTACTTATACTTTACTTGACAATGTCAGGTGCGTATACTAGTCAAAATTTGTACTTTGTATACATAATCGTGGTAGTTTCTGCGCCATAACTTCTGTAGATTAATATTTTGTTTTACAACTGGTGTTGAACGGCTGACATATTTTTTGCTTTACGTATCTCAATGTTCAACTTGTAACCTTGCAAATTTTGAACCCAACACAGAAGATAAGGAAACTCTTGTATTAGCATTGGGCAAAATAGAATGCATGGAGACTTTTTGAAATTCGTGATAGAACTCACTCATACTTGCCTTCTACGGAAAGAAAAACCATTAAAACATCTTACGGGTATCCAGATGCAATCAAATTCTCAGCAATGATTCGTTAATTACCAGACCCGTAGCCAGGGGGTGGACCGTCGGGACAAATCCCCCCCCTTCCCGAAATTCTGGGACTCAAATTTTTTAGTCTTTCTTTGAGCCTCTCAGTAATATCTTTTTGCGAACTTTGAACCTCTCAGTAAATAATATCTTTTTGCGAAACAAGATGGATAGAAAACCATGATGCAATCATTAGATTTAAAGAACTTTATCCAAAACAAATTCAACTCCTCTAAAGCGGACAATCTTATTTCTACTATCACTAAGTGAGTTTTACATTACTTTACTTGTTTGTAGAGATATTTTTTCTGTGACTCTCCCACTGAGCAAAGAACTCCAAGAAATTCATCTAGATTTGAATGGAGCTTAGATACATGTAAAATCAATAAACAGCACAGTTCTAAACAGAAGAAAAAATGCCGAGTATGAATTTCAAAAGCTATATCCAGAACTCCTTAATACTTTCACAAGTTTGGATCTAGATGTAAAACTTCCTAGATTGGCATCCTATCAAAATCACCGTGGCAATATAAAAAATCAGAACACAGACCTAGAGCGGTACTTCCGTCAAAATACACTGGTTATCATAAATTAAGGAAAATTCACAAAAATCGCGATAACTCAAGAAATTACACATGGAATTTTATGAAACTTACCCACAATATACAACACATAGTAAGGTATTAAACAACATAAAAAGAAATTATCAGACATTAATAGTAGTATAGAAATTAGCACATGTATAAAATAAACAAATTGGAAGTATCGGTTTGCAATAGAAAAAGTACCTTTAATATGGAATATGATTGCCTCTAGAAGCAATACAGCACAAACAGCGATGTGTGATGCTTTCAATTATGCGGTCTATCAGTTCAATAGGAAGTGAGAGCCATTGCTCTTGTAAAGCAGTTGCAAGCGTGGCAAGGGTCTGAGGGGGCGGATTGATGGCAGATACACGCCTCCCTAGAGCATCCCAAACGTGCTCGATAGGATTCAAGTCCGGGGATCGAGCTGGCCACTCCATGCGAGTAATTGTTTCCTGTTGAAGATAATCATCAACAATGCGAGCTCTGTGTGGTCTTGCATTATCGTCCTGTAACAGGAAGCAATCACCAATTGCCCCGGCATATGGGCGCACATAAGCATCAAGGATGTTGTCTCGATAAACCTGAGCATTCACGGTTCCCCTTGGAAAGACATGGAGGTATGTGCGCCCTCCTAAGGATATGCCTCCCCAAACACAGACACTGCCTCTTCCGTATGCATCTCTTTCACGGATGTTTGATGGATGATAACGGGTCCCAGGTTCTCTCCATATCAAATAACGTCTACTGTCACTTTCTAGACTAAACCTGGACTCATCCGTAAAGAGAACAGGCCTCCATTGATCTGACGTCCAGTGGACATGTTGTCGGGCCCACTGCAAACGGTCTCTCCTATGGCGTGATGTGAGCGGCACGCAAATGGCTGGTCGTCTCGCATACAGACCACCTTCGTGGAGCCTTCTGCGCACAGTTGACGTTGACACCAACCTTCCGGTGGCTGCAGCAAGAGAGGATCTAAGATGTGTCGGAGTAGCGGTTCTATTCCTGCGTGCACTTAATGTCAAATATCGGTCATCGGCACTGGTCGTAACAGTTGGCCGTCCTTGACTGAACCTCCTAGATGCCGAATCTGTGGTTTGAAATTGCCTCCAAAGTCTATGAACCACAGATGGACTCACATTTAGCCATCTGGCCACTTCTGATTGACTCTGCCCTGCCTCTAGTCTCCCGATGGCTCTCCATCGTAGTTCTTCAGGCAAATGATGCCTAGAGGTCATTATTACGAATTGGCTATCTCAGATTTTCAATGTCGCAATCACAGTAAAATTTGTGTGCTTTCTCTCAAACTTGGACTTTTATGCTCCAGGCAGATGACGTAAGCCGAGTGCAGCGCCACTAATTTGCATATTGCAATTTTACTCAGCTACTCTTAGTGGACAACATATGCAAATTTTGCACGGTTTGGCTTACTTTTGAAAGAGTTATCGCTATTTTTGTGATTTTTCCTTAATTTATGATAACCAGTGTATATGCATTCCTTTTTTCGCTGCCCAACTGATTGAAAGATTTTCGAAGCACGAAGATACTCTTGCATCTCTCAATAAAGTGTTACCTAAGTATTGTGTAAACATTGATATGCAATTTCCGAATCTACGCAGATTTCATTGACATCGAAAACCTCATGAGAGAAATGGAAGTATGGGCATCAAAGTGGAACCTGCGTGAACCCCTTAGTAGACCAGATACGGCACTTTCAGCAATGGAAGAATGCGACAGTATCTTTTTTCCAAACATTTATTGCTTGTTATCAATATTGGCTACGTTGCCAATCACCACAGAAACTGCAGAAAGAACTTTTTCTTCCCTTAAATGCGTAAAAACAGCAACAAGAAATGCTACTAAAGAAGAAAGGCTAACAGGGCTAACTTTATTAAGCATATTTCGGGATATTCCGGTTTGTCCTAAAAAAGTAATCGAAAAATTTTCTTCTAATCCCCGTCGCATGTCTTTGTAAACTTTGTTTACAAATTGATTATAATTATTATGTAACATTAATTGAAAAATAATTATTGTGTAATATTTTTAATTACTAGTTTAACTTTTGCAAACAACAGAATAAATAATATTTGTTGCAATGTTTTTGGCCTACTTTGCATGTCTGAAACTGTCCTTGCTTCTTACCATATCCCCCTCCGAAAAAATATCCTGGCTACGGCCTTGTCAATTACTGATGGTATTTTACGTCAGCACTGCAACCAGTGCGAGCCGGGAAAAGAATTCTTAACGACCAGTCGTATCGTTCGCAGGGATTTAAATCTCGGTTATTTCATCGAGATGGGAGCTCTACCCCTTGAGTGATTGTAACTCATAGACTAGTATCAGCACTACTGGTAGGCAGCCTATCGAATTTGATATTATTCGATTTCGAAAAATATACATGAATGCATAGAAAGCAATTGTTTTCTATGCATTCATGTAGCATTAATGCTTCTAAAATGTTTAAATAGTCTTTTGTAATCTAAAACAGGACGCTCGAGGTCAAGCAATTCCTTACCACT